CGTGGCGGGCAAGGAACGAGGGTGGGACGGAGGCGGCGGCGGGGACGGGATGTTGGCCAGCGGCGATGAGCGACCCCCCCCGCCGCCCCCGGACGACGGGATGTCTTCGGGCGGAGGGGGCCCAGGCGGCGGGGGAGGCGTGTCCCACAAAAACGCCTCCTCCTCGTCTTTTTCCCCCTGCGTTAGGTTCTGCGCCGTACCGTGGACAGAGCGAACGCGCAGGGGGGGGGGGGATACTCAAATGGTGCTGGCCTTGAAGGTCATCTGACTGTAACGTCTACAATCAGGAGCAAGCCATGGCAAGACAGGAACGGGGGTTGTTGTCAAACTCTGACCCGATAGAGCTGGAGGGATTAAAAAAAGTGCGCCAGAGCTACGGTTCGCATATATAGCCGAATCACTAGGAAACGGCATCACCCCGACGATGATGGACGTAGCCCCGTCAGGCGTCGATTTGGCCTTAGCCCCTCAGCAGTCCTTACCGCCTGGATGTCCCGAAACGCATGCTCGACCATCTTGTAGTCGGGCTCTTGGAGAAACTTGCACTGCCTCAGCAGCTGCACCACCTGCCGGCGCAGCACCCGCCGGGGATGATGACCGCGACCAAAACACGCCAGAAGCGGGCAAGGGCACGCCCGAACGGCGCAAAACCACATCCAGAGAGAGAGAGGGGGGGAGAGAGAGAGAGAGAGAAAGAAAGAAAGGGATAGACAAGAGCGAGAAGAGACACGAAGAGAGACACAGAAGCGACCTGGTGTCAGTTGCTACCAGGAGAGCTCGTTTCCAACCCCACTAATGACAACGAGATAGCTGGGTGCCAAGAGCAGCAACAGGCAACGCAGTTCGTCGAGCGTAGACAGCCCTGCCGACCGAAAGACTTCCGGATGAACAACCACACGCGTGCGCCCCACGCCCCACGTGGAACGCTCTGACCCGCGTGAAGGTTGGCTCTACAGGCCGGCGCCCCGTATTGCCATGTTGCCAGCAAAGCCATGCGCACGCGCATCGTGCTCGTGTGGATGCTTACGAGGCAATCGCAACGCCGCAACGCTGTCGTCACACCCTAAACCCAACACCCTGATGAACGAGAAAAGCAATCGTCGTACTCCGCCATGCTCCCTCCCAACCACTCTTGCCCCCTTTTACCATGATGGTGTGTGTGCGCACGAGGTCGTTGGTCGTGAAGTTGCTGTCAAAGTAACGCCTCTTCATCTCCGTCGTCTCCTTCTTCTCCTTTCTCCTGGCCTGTAAAAAACGACACGACAAAACGTTAGCCAAGCGACCACGGAGGAAATGCAAGAGGCCTCTCGAGGCAGCGCACAAACCCCTGCTCCTGATCGGAAATAACACCCACGCGTTTGGATTCTCTGCACTTGCAAAATAAGCTCTTGCCTCTCTCATTCGTTCCCACCGTCATTGGCATTTGGCAACCACGTCTACAGCAGTAGGTACCTCATAAGAGAGCCATGGCCAGGAGGTTGCAAGCCTTTGCAAAACATACAGTATACCGCAAAAAAGTCTTGTCCGCGGCCTGGAGCGCTCCTTGAAAGGGCCACCGAAAACTCCCGCAAGATACCGCCATCCCACACCCCTGCCAGATACTCACGTGCTCCGCCCACGGGAGCTTGCCCGTGTAGAGGTCGAGGAAGACATACAGCAGGCTCTCGAGGTCGTCCTTGCGGCTCTGATCCCTCTCCTCGTGAGCTCCCAGAGAGGCATACCTTGCGGACAACGGACAGGGGAGGGGATGCACAGCGACAACGTGAACTGACGAGACAGCGCAAAAGGGGGAGACGGGGGTATCATAGGGGTCGGGATTCCTTACATCGGCTGCGGGATCAGCCCACCGCAGTGTCAAAAACAACTCCATAGCAAGTCTCGCGCCAACTCCACGTGCAGAGAAAAAAAGAAAAGCAAACGACGATAAGGCCGTTTGGCCGGGGGAGGAGCGCAAAATCGACGATAGATGCCGAGCAATACACCACAGCCATTGCAGCGAGAGCGAGGGTCTCACATGCTGGTGCCTCGGAACTCTGCCCTTTCTCTTTCCTGCCGCATCCCACCCGACTCGGACTTGAACTGCTTTGCCAGGCCTTGCGGAGTCACGACGGGAGAACAAGGCAGGGTTGAAAAACAGCAGCGGTGGAGAGAACGGCCAGCAGAGGCCCTCTCACTGTTGTTTCCGTCATCAGTCATTCCAAGACGACTCCCTCCCGACACGGACTCTACGTCCTGTTCTTACACTACTATAGCAATCAGGCGGGTGGGGAGTTCCGCTGGGCATCTACAACAAAATCGAGCAAGCCCAGGCGGCGGGGGGATTCAGGCGCGAAAGTCAGGCCTCGTAGATGAGAGGGTGGATTTCAAACAGAGGGCCTGTTGTGGTGCTCCATCCGGCAGCAGTGGAGAACGTCAACTACTGAAACAGCTGCTTATAGAATACGCTGGGAGCCAACAAATAACACCTGCTTCGACGAACACAACGGCAGCAACAGCGACAGCAGCAGCCCCATCAGCAGCAGCACCACCACCACCCACAACAACAACAACAACAACAAAAACAACAACAACAACTGCAACAGCACCAACACGAAGCCCACCTTCCCCAACAACAACCGTTGCGCATGCAGAGCACATGGGGCAGGAAGGATTCTCACCGAAGTCGATGATGACGAACTCTTTCCCGTTCTTTTTTCGGCGGACGAAGTTCGCCGGCTTCACGTCCCGGTGAAGGTAGCCGCAGCTGTGCACCCCCTTCAGGCACTCGAGCATCTGCGGTGAGACAGCAGCAGCAGCAGCAGCAGCAGCAGCAGCAGTAGTAGCAGAGGACAACATCAACATACCCTGATAATCAAACCCACGAAACTCTTGTATACGCTGACACTGTCCTTGAGATACACTCAGAACCATCTGTAAAGCACAGCAGACTACACCAGGCCGAAACCTGCGCACCACGGTGGTGGTGCGACAACACAGCAGCAGCAGCGGGTATTGCAAGCAGCTGCAGACAGCTGAACCTGTACACAAAACCAGACCAGCCTCAACAGCAGGCCAGGAAGCGGGAGGATCCACCGACGCTCATCGAAGGACGACGACGACGACGACAAACCCAACCACCACTAACAGCAACAACACAGCAACAGAACAACAATATCATCATCACTGACAACAACAACAACAACAACAACAACAACAACAACAACTTCCAAAACAACACAACACAACACAACACAACACAACACAACACCACCACCAAAAACAAAAACATCCACGCCGGTGACGGCCCCAACCGCTCCCTTCAAGAGAGCAGGTGGCCCTAAAGAACCTTCACCTGGAGAGCGAGGTCGCAGCACACACCCAGGGGCAGCCCGCCGGGGCGCTGGCTGGCCAGGGAACCTGGGATCGCTTTGGGCTGCCGGTGCCTGAGAAATTTCGCATTATAGTACCACGCACGACAAATATCCGTTGTGGCGTGCGAGAGTACGACGGCATCGGTGAGTTGCCCCCCTTGTGGGACACACAGGATACTAACCATCAGCCGCAATCGCAGAAGCGTTCGTCTCAAGAAAAACAGAACAGTACCATCCAGCGCTCGCCATCCATTGCAAGCAAGTTATACGGTGTTACAGGTGTCGCAGGAGGGGGCGGGCACAAAAAAAAGAGTAGAAGCTGACACCGACAGCCAAGCTGAGAGGAGGAGAGTATTTCTCCACGAAACACGCAACAGAGAGAGTTGCGGCAGAGATCGGAAGCACGCAAACGACTACCGGCGACAGCGAGGGCAAACACACCTGAGCGCGCTCATGTCTTCCCCGGAGAGCAGCTCCATGACAAGCACGTCCTTGTTTCCGTGCTTCCCGAAAAGGTAGTGCCTCGGCACGCAGGACAAGCTCTGGAGGCCTTCCACCACTTGGTTCTCCCACTGAATAAATAACGGCGGGAGGGGCAAGCGTTGCGATACGACAAGAAAAACGTGAGCCGGGCCGTCGGCAGGCATGCGTGCGAACAACAACGCATCCTCAGAGACGCCCGTTACCTGGCCCCCGACAAATCAGGGCGTTAGAGGCCTGGACCTGAACCGCCCTCCCGTGTTCCCTCCCCTGGATTCGGAAGCGATAATAAAAATACAGAAACGTCCGCGGACGCCCGCCGCCGTCTGGCAGCAGCAGCAGCAGCAGCAGCAGCAGCAGCGGCATCAAACAAGCCCCCCGTCCCCACCTCGAGAATTGCCAATCGACCACCTCGTCACCCAGACACGCCATCTATGCATACCACTGGTGAAGGGTCTCTTCAGCTCGTACCAACAGCAGTGCGGACACGTCATCGGGTTTCCCGCGAATGTGCGGACAGCTTCGCGCGAGAAATTAAATTAGCAGGAAACAGAACAGCAGGGACGGACGGGGGTACGCAGGCGCGCCATCCCTGACCCAACGTTTCCCGATGGCATGCTGTGTCCAACATGTTTACAGAAAACCAAATCCCTGCGAAGGCTTTTGCAATGTGTTGACCTATCAATGTAAAGTAGAGTAGAGTGCATATAGATTTACGGGGACAATCATACATACAAAGACGAAATAGATGAAAGAGCCCACAACCTTGAGGACGGAGCGCTGCATGCCCTGGACCTCGACCTTGACCGCCGCCCCCTCGGAGTTGCCGGTCAGGTCGGAGGCCCGGTGCAGCTCGCAGAAGGTGCCCTTCCCCAGCCGCTCCTCGATGAGCCACCGGTCCTTCACGACCTCCCCGCGCTTCAGCATGCTGCCGGCTCTTGCGGTCACAACAACCGCCGAGAGAAACCTGGAAACTATTACGAAATGACAGCAGCGGCAGCACCAGCAGCAGCAGCAGCAGCAACGTTTGTTCTCGATGTCCTATATTTCGAACAAAGGCAGGCGTAGGGCCGAAAAAACAGACGATGGTTTCACGAAGGTTGAGGCATCCACCGAAGCGCGTACTGCTCTACCGAATGTGTGCGTTGGAGAGCTGCACGGGTGTGCAAAGACAGCCACGCCGGAGAGAGGGAGGAAAAAAACACGACCGGTTGTGTACACGCTCCAAATCAGGAGGTGTGCAAAATGTCCACGTCGAATTACAACGGGCTCGGAAGGGTCTTAGCAAGAAAAGCTTACCTCCAAAACTTGCATTGTTTGGCATGTATTGTAAGTAGTGGCAACCCTTCGTTTGTCTCGCGTAAGAGACGCCGGCGGTGCCGCCGAACTACGCAGATTTGGAGGCATCGACAAGTGGGGGTATGGTATCTTGTGTCATCGCGACATACGGACATACGGACAGGAATTGTCAAAGCCTCGGGAGATGAACTTCTACTTGGATTAAACACTGTGTCTGCTAAACAGCAGTGCTGCAGACTATCAACCTGTGCTGGCTGGACGTGACGAGTAATAAAGGTGGGTGCAGGGACTCGCGGCCCGCAACCACTAGCGGTGTCGTGCGCTGTGCCGCACACCCTAGACGACGGATGAAAAAAACACTCCATCAAAGAGAAGCACCCACGGGCGTACTGCTGCGTGCAGGCAAATGCAGCTACCACCAGAGTACTTTCTGGATCCCCACTACTGTAGGAACGTCATGTGTTCGCAAAGAAGGGTGACAACACCCGCAACGAAGGGTGTCAGCGTCAATGATCGCTGCTGCCGCTTCTGTAGCTGGCGAACTTTCCCTACAAGAGAACGTGGGTTTGCAACATGTTATCATCTGCACCCACTCGCATGCAAAAGTTTGCCGGAGAGAGATGTCACACGAGCACGGGGGTAACGGGAATAGTTTCATCCCGTGCATGGCTATCGCTTTGGACACGCACGCTACTCTGCTGGGCAGTGACCGTTAGAGGTCAAGCCGTATGCCTCCGCCTCCGCCCCACCCAGATGATGTCGAAAATCCGTACAGGGAAAATCTGACCATCTGTCCGCTCAAGTCGGTTTTGCCAAGATCACACGCAATCTCTGTCGGCGGTCCCAACGCAAGAGGAAAACCTCAGGACTCACAGCAAGTATCCACCTCACCTTCCTAACAGCCAGGAGCAGGCGTCACAAGCAGGATGGTGCAGCGTTGCAAAATAGCAAGGGTGGGCGGCGGCAGCGGGCAAGGGGGGCGTCATGGATGGCAGCCAAGAGGGGGGGGGGGACGGCGTATCATCCCACGCCTACCTGCAGTCCGGTGTCTGCCACCCCAGATGCATGTATCATCCTGCCTATCATACGCCCAGGCCAGGTCACCAGCGTTCCAACCACGGACATAGCCACTTAGGCATATACCTTTGCAGCTACCGCTGTTTGCTTACACATATCAACCAGAGTTGATGAATCTCGAGCAAACGCGTGGACGCTGAACTATTGTACGAGAACTCTTTTGACAACAAACACGACGAGCCGAGGAAACGCCTGCTATCCTTCTACTGACTCTGTTCACCCGCGGGGAAGGCCTCCGGCTAGCTGCCGTAGCTTCATCGTGCACGTGCACCTTTGCTACCCTCTGTGGGGGATTCATCTGACAGCGATAGAGGTGAGTATATTCTCAACTAAGAGGACAAGTACTTACTGTACTGTAGACTGCTGTGAACTGGCTCCTTGCTTGCACAATTTTAATTTTTTGAATGTTTGAATGCCGCTGGGGCATCAGTTGACAACTCAGCCCTCTGAGACACATGCACATACAGCAGTACTGTAGACACATCCACACACAACAAAGCCGGCGCATGGATGAAGGATCAGCATGTCACAGGGAATGGGCACCATTTACATTTTCTCTATTGGGTCTTCAATCGGTACCGTGGCGTGCATCCGCCCTAGAGAACACTAGACTAGTCCACTTTAGTCCTTATGTCGCTGCCACCGAGGACCTCTCGCAAGATATATGTATGCATTGTACTGGAGTACTGCGGTGGATGTGGCAGATAAAATCGTCATACAGTCGACACTCATCTTTAGGGCTAGGTCGGCCTTTGGGGACACTTGTTGTCCCCATCTTCTTCGCCCGCTTTGCCTCTCGAACAATGGCATGGATGTCTCCTCCTTTGAACTTAGCGACGAGGGGGGTGCCGGGGTACACGGGGACCACACTAGGGGGAGGAGTTTGAGGGTAATGACAGGTCGAGTCGCGGGACGATGATGCCGCGGGTTCAAAAGCGAGGTGGCGCCGCGTCTGTCTACCCTTGGGTGGAAAGCCCCACTTTTTGGTAGGGGCAAGCGCGGAAGAAGCACCGAGCCCGTCGATGAAAGGAGACACAGGGCAAACTGTACTGCTGTAGGGCTTGCGTTAGAAGGTCCTGCTTTCCCTTTAGAGGAAGTTCTTGAAAATCTCCTTTTCGTGCCCCATTTACCACGTTCCCGCCAGTTGTTGTCTAAACGCCCTATCAAATGTCCCCTCAATTCGAGGGAACATTTGATAGAGTTTTAAGAGAAGAGACGGCTCAGGTGGGAAGGCAGCTTTGCACTTGCACCCAGGGGTGGAACTGTCTGCATCATCCAATCAGCAGGCGTCGTGTTCTCTTCTTCTTATAGTTCAGAAATTTCTAAACACCGAGTTTATGTGTGTGGTATTTCAGTCAACTCCCCGCTTTATGGACACCAAACATCTCAGAAGCAGGGTGCTCCGCATATGTACAATAGGGGGGGTACTGTTTTCATCATTCGGGACCCCAGGTTGATGTTGCAGCAAAGCTGTAGAACTGCATCTCCGCGAGGTTTTCAACGTGGGGACGAAGCCGAAAACAAAATGCTTCCAAAACAAAGGCAATAACAACAGCGCACTATTGTAATTTTATACCTCGTCCCGCCGCACTGCTGTACCCACTGTTCAGTAAATGTGGGGGGTGGAGTGTTACAATGTTTAGGTTCACCGGCGAACGACGTGGTATATGAGTACGTGCGGCTTTCAACCACCACGCACGACGTTGTCATTGTCAACCTTATGATGCTTTCGTACTAGTATCCCGGCTGCAATTGCACGTCTTTTGCCGTATGCATATGTTACGCCTCCGTTGACCCCGGGGACGTTGAGTTTCACCCCCGGAAACCAAACGACACTTCCCCACGTTGAAGACTGTTCAAAATATAAAACCATGTGCGTCTTTAAGGCGGGGACAACGGTACCGACAACACTGCAGGGAAAGCCGAAAATATCAGAAAATAGAGGGGGGAGAGGGGGGGGGGTGTACTCATAGTTGTGCATGCTGTAGTCGTTAGACCATTGACCTCGCATCCCTACAAAGTCGGGACGGAGCACGCCGGGTTCTCACCGGACCAGGCTCTCACATCACCAAACGGAAGCACCGTGAGGTATTCGGCGAGTCGCATGAAGGGCGCGCTGCATCCTGCTAAGGGTGTTCGGCATCTTGTGCTTACTTCCTTGCGTACGGATGACAGCTGCGGATGACTTAATTTCTTTTCTGGTGCTTTCACTTCCAGAGACAGGTATAAGCACTGTGTAATTGCCTCCAGGATGCTTGACCATTTTAACACAACGTGGTGCGATCATCCCCCTTGCGCGGAGGGAGGGTTCTCCACCCCGGGGAGAGGGGGAAAGAGAAAATCATGGCGGCATCTACACAGTAGTAGACAATTGCAACAAAGCCACACATGGCGGAGCGAAGGTGAAATGTTGCTACAGCAACAATGGTCTGCATCCCCAAAGCTGTGGCTCTTCACATGACGCCTTTCGATGTTGCCTACGAGAGACAACCCGGAGATCACCAACCTTAGATGGGCGTCACCAGCCCCCCCTTGACACCATTTATGTAGGAGACTGGTGGGCGAGCGCTGTTGGAGGGAGGACGGGAGACTGGCGGGAGCGCTGTTGGACTCAAGCAGGGGAGGACTTGCTGGGTTGAGACGTTGAGACGGAGCAATGCCACGGCTGGATCGCATGGGGCTGGACGAGCGCACGCTCGGAGTCCTCGCGTCCCTCCCTGTGCCGATCGTTTTAGGTAAGTGCAACACCGCGAGCACCAGTCAAGAGAAGAAGGAATACGAATTGTTTAGTTCAAGTGTCATCATCAGGGAACGCTAGAGACATGCCACGTGCCTACATGTGTAGGAGGATCTCTTGTCTCTTTGCTCGCCCATATTCACAGATACCTCACGCAGGTAATTGTGTCTTGACGTTTCAAGAGTGCTACAGGTGGTGTTATCTTAGAGAGCGACAAACTGCACCGACAAGCGCTGACCGCACTCAATTCATCCCGTTCTACGTATAGGGACAGTCGTCCGTTGGCACACCCAACCACTACTGACCACCTACCGCCGCGCCTACTGCACTTGACGGTTTCCCCAAGTATCCAAACGAACTCGACGTTTTTTTTCCCGTCTTCGTCCGAAACGGGCGCTCGAACCTGTTCATGCTGCTGCTTTTGCGGATTTTCGTCATTTGCGGGACGGAAAAACCCACAACAATTAACACGGCACGGCCTCCCCCCTTCGGAAAACAGCGGAGTCCCTGCTCTCTCGAGACCCGGAACAGCTCGCCCTGGAATGTGGCGTCAGCATGAAGGCCGTCAGCAAGCTCCGATATCTCGTCGCGCTTCGGTGTCAGGTGCCTACGGTGTCTACTTCTCTGCTGCCGCCGCTGCTACTTTCTACTGCTGCTTTTGCGTTTTTTCAACTCTCTGGGAACTGTACACATGAGTGTGTTTCGTCAGCATCCCCCACGATATGTATGAAGCCGTCTGACGGATGAGAAAACGTGCACATTACGTCGCGGTCGTTCTCTAGGCTGTAGGCGATTCCTCCGCCAGGATGGGCGTGGAAGAGACTGGACGCCAGGGTCCAGGATCTGTGTGATGTCTTACTCGTGTGTGGCGGTGTTTGTTGTTTGGCCTGGTGGGGATATATCTTTCAACGCCACACATGAGCAGCAAGAAATTCGGCCGAAACTTGACACTGTCAACAACAGTACCAGCTGGTTTGAGAGTTGCTTCGTGTCTCAAATGAGTAACATTTTCCCGCGTTTCTCTAGGGAAGAACTTGATAGGATTCTAGAGGATAGTTCCCGGACCACCTCGAAGCAAGCGGAGAAAGACAGACAGGAGACATCGTCGAGAGCAACGGAACGAGCAACATGAATGTCACCGCACGCGGGTGCTTCCTGGTGCTGCGGCTGCGGCTGTGCCATTTTCGCCCCCTAGTCCACTCGTTCATCAAAGTATTCTTGGTTGTTGCACGGCCGAGGGGTGATCAGCCCGGTGACCCTTTGGCGAGCAGCAACGAGTGCTCTTCGCGAACACATTTCCACCACATACACCGGCGTCTCGTTCTGAACCCGTCCCGGCCGCCATTGCCCTCTGTCGTGTCAGAGACGCACAACAGCAGAGGATCCGTTGAAGGAATGTAGTTCGTAGGAATACGCGGCGCACCGTTTGAAGTCAGCGACGAACGGGGCCCAAAGACTACGCATGCAAAACACCAGTACGCCCCCCCTCCCCCCTCCCCCCCCGCGCGCGCTCGCCCACACCCGTTGGCCCGAACCCTGTTTTTTCGATTCAGCCTCAGCCTCCGGTTCCCGACAGGAGAGCTCCGGAAGACAACGGCGATGGAGCGACTCCAAACACACAGGGGCACGGCGGAGAGGGCAAGCGGGGGGCGGGTAGCAGCACGGCGACACCACCACCACCACCGCGGCCAGCAGCAGCTACAGCGAGGGCGACAAGCTCTCCAAGACGAATAGGAGGTGTTGTTGGCGGAGGGGGAAGGGGGGGCACACCGGACGACCCTCCCCTGCTGTCCTTCGAGTCGGCCGATGCCCTGTACCGACAGGCGAGGGACGTGGGGGGTTTCGTAACGACGGGGTCGGACAGGTGTGGACGTTGACGGGCTCAGGCGGGACGAACGTTGGGCGTTGATGTTCGGGAAGCTGCCCATTTTGAACCGCATATCTTGGCATGATCCGAGATTACGATTGCAGTGCAAGCCGGTACCCGGTATTGTTCGAGGACTACGCTAACGGTTGTGTTTTGAATGAATCGGACGCGTGCTCGCCCCCGTTCGTCCCGTCTGTTTCGCCTTACAAACTGTTTGACATTCCCGGGGGAATCCGTTCCAAGTTCTATCCCGCCTTCAAGCACGAATCGGGGTGTGTGACTAGGGTCACCACTGCGATGTTGTTTCTAGGTTGATGGTGCCCTGCTTCAAACACGGCAGTTTGCATTCCTTAGACTGTTGTCTTCGAAAACCTGTGTTCTAAATTTCTGTTGTGTGTGGTTCGTATTGGGCATGCATCATTGCTGGCAAAATGACTGCGTTGTCTTTCGCTTCAGGTGCCTTGAGCCAACTGTTTTCATTCGTCTGCACGCACGTTTTCGTTCTGATTAGCCTCGACAATCTTCTCTGCAAGGGGTTGATGCTTCACCACGTTGTCGAGGTCGTTGGGAGGTCATCTTCGGGCAAGACGCAGGTGAGGACCAACTGCTGCTGTTGTAGTATTTTTTTCTTCCACGATCAGATCCGCCTTGCCATCCCTCTCGTGCACCTCCTCTATTCCGTTCTTGCTTATACAGGAGTATGCTGTGTCAACGAAAAACATTGGAATACGTAAGTTCTGCTTCATCCCCAACCAGCAGCAGTCCAACCCGTCCCTCTCTAAACTTCATCGAAAACTACGACAAGTCCTTACGCTTGACGGGCACCCGCCCGACGTATGGACAACACCACGACGAACCGAACATTCACCGCGCAGCTCTGCTTGACGGCAGCGGTGGCGGCGGCGTCCCACGGGATCGGGGTGCTCTACATCGACACAGCGAACGGCTGCAGCGTGCGACGGATGCAGCAGATCGCCCGTTCCCGCTACGCAGACGCCAACGGGGTGAGGTGCCAAAGGGATCCTCCGTACCTTCGGAGATAGGCACGGTTGATCGATGAATGCTGGCGAAAGTTCTCCACTCGAGTCTTGAAGTCGCGAACAGCCCACATGTGCTTGGTAAAGCCGCGTTTTTCGTTTCCGGATGCTCGAGGAAGCAGCTCCACGCCCAGAGTGCGCGTTATTTTGTCTCTTACCTGCGAGTAGCTTTTCACAACCCTGCGTCCGGGTCGAGTCACATAAAGACGCCCTATATTCGCAATAGTATAGTCCAGTTTTTGTTCGTTTCCGGACGCAGGGGGTGCACGGCCCGCGTTTCGAGGAAACTTGTAGACTTTTTCAATGATGCATACAGCTGAGGCGGGCTACTCGTTTCGATTTCCAAGTGGAGAATGTGTCCCTTGTGTGACGGTACCCGTACATGGCGTTGCTGCTGTGTTTCGAGTCGACACGTTCGTTCTGCCCTTCCCCGGTCAGGGCAGCGCTGTGCTGTGCGGCTGACGTATTTCTCCACCTCGTCCGCTTTCTGTCTCGGTTTGTCCATTTCTCTCTCTCTCTCTCTCTCTCTCTCTCTCTCTCTCTCTCTCTCTCTCTCTCTCTCTCTCTATCTATCTCTCTCTCTCTCTACTCGCTCTCTCTCCTTCTCTCTCTCTATTTCTTTACTTGACTCTTGCTTCGTTTGCGTTTGGGTCTTTCTCCTACCCCACACAATACCCGACGACAGGAGATGACGGCGCGACAAATGGACGCTCTCCTGGACAGGCTCCGGGTGGTCCGCGCCTTCGACATCTCTCGAGTCATGTCCGCGCTGGTGGCCTACATCGACGGCGTCATGGAAGGGGTGAGCACGTTCGACAGCGGGCAATCGTGAGGTGGCCTCCGGAGCCCCGTGTGCGTCTCTCGGTGTCACGACCATCACCGCACGGGCCGGTCGATTGCCCTTCAGCGCGCCCCGTGGGTACCCAGTGTCTTGCCCCCGTCGTGAGCGCGCAGCGCAGCGTATGCTACACAGGGTTGGTTGGCAAACCGCTGCTACAATCACCTGCGACAGCGGAGCAGACCTCGTCCCTTGCTGCTGTGCCACTCGTTTGGTGTTGTCACTACGCGCATCAATGCTTGTGCAATTCCATCTACAGTGGCGTATCATCCACCACAAGGAACAGACCGCCGGTGTTGTAGATTCCCGAGCAGTAGTAAATAGCGAACGGTTGAAACACTTCCTAACCTTTTTGGGAGCGCGTGGCCACTGCAAGCGTCGGCAACCTTGGTACGCCCTAACCGTGGCTTGTACCACTAGGCATGTGCTTCAGGCGGTGACCTTGTTCCTTAGAATGCGGGTTTCCTAGGATTTGCGCTCGGCGCATAACGGAATTCAGTTCCCCGTTTCACACCGGCATTTCCCCGCCCGTCCATCCTCGGCGCCTCTTCGTTCGCGTTTCTCTCTTCGTGCCCCCCATAGGGCAGGAACGGGGTGTACAGCGACTGCCGATTGGTCATTCTAGACTCCGTAACGGCGGTTATTTCGCCGCTTCTCGGTGGCTTCAAGAACCCTGCCGGTGAGATGTACATCTCATTTTTATCAACCCCTATGTCATGGAGACCATGTAGCTTCCGCCTTGAGCTGGTTCTTTTTTTGATATGCTTGTTTTCCTCTGGAAGAAGTAGCGATTCCTTGTGAGAGTCGGGAAACTGAACGCCCGACAAGACGATTTGTCAAGCTTACAGCTGTTTGAATGCCACCCACGCCCATGAATCAACGGCGGATATTGCACGACGGAACACCCGCTCACAACTTAAATCACTTTGCCAACACCGTCCTAGTGTTGTTGCCGCCATCTCTTCCCTTTCACCTCGCTCAGCGGCAGATGGAAGATCTGTGTACGCCGGCAACGCACGTGCATGTCCAGGATGTTTTCGAACTTTCAGCAGAATCTCGCCCGTGGCCTTACCTTTGTGTTCGACTGTCTATGTGCGTCGCCGGTCGTCGGTGTCACACAAAATGCCTCCCAAGCGAGAGCATCATGCCTTTTAAACAAAGAACCGGTGGCTGCCCAACCAACCCACTGCTGCCAGCAAATTTGCTGCTACTGATGTTGCTGTCGTTGCCGTTGTTGTTTACAGCTCCGTTGATGTTGGTTTGGGCATCTATGTTGTACCATCGCCGTCGCGCGACTTCAAAATGTACCTCCTCCGAACCCTCGGTCGGACTGATTGCTCATCCGTCATGCCACCACGACCCCACCCCTCTCCTGCCCACCCATCTCTGGACGCGCACATCGCAAACAGGGCACGGACTGATGGCTTCGTTGGGACACCTACTGAACCGTGCGGCCTCGCAATGCAGCGCGTGTGTCCTGGTGGGTTCATGTTTTTTTTTGCTCGTCGAAACCGCTGTAGACCACATGCACAACTGTGCTTCGGGACACGTGTAACTCAATAAACCTATCGACCACCAACCGTGATAGCACTTTTTTGTGTGTGTTGCGTGGTTTGGTTCGCGGTTCGGAAGGCAGGAGTCACAGCCCCTCTCGGTAAGCGCCTCAGGCACACCCTTGCAATCGATCGATCGGCAGCTGGGTGATTTCCCGGTGTCTGCCCAACCTGGAAGAAACAGACGGTGCGTTGCTTTCTGTTTGTTCCCGGTCCGGTTGTTCTTCGCGAAAGCGACGCTTACTTTTCTGGGAAGCGGCGTGAAAACGTACGTGGCGAGTGCATGCTTGTGCGTGTCGCCCGCGGTAACCGGCTGACGAATGAAATAGACCTGAAAAGGAGTGAACACTACGTGCTATGTTTGTGGGTCGTTTCCTTGAGGAGTGCACGCCGTACCACGCTTGTGCGCTGGACGCCCTTCAATCCGGGCATCCGTTGCTGCTACTACTGCCGTTCAGAGTACGCCAAGGGCCGTACAAATGCTCTTTCCTGCAACAGTCAGTGCCCACACAATCTTGCTGGCCACACGCGAAGCCAGACGAAGACAAAGGTTCGGACGTTAATGGGAGGCTTTTGTTCCATGGGGGTATCGGCCCAGGGGCAGCCCGGCACAGGGCGCCTGGTCATACGTACCTTCGCTGGTGCCGTAGCGCTTTCCAAGGGCACAGGACTCCGTGCGGGACATTGACCATCGTCTAAGCTAAGCGAGAGCTCTGCTCGACAGCACCGATCCTAGAGGTCATGAATTTGGAGTGCCTTTCTCGTTCTGGGTTGTTTTTCTTGCTCGACATCGGCTCCACAGTACCATGTGCACAATAGAAGAAGGATGGGGTACCTGCGCTGAGAACCGCAACCGGCTCTTGCGGACCAATGTCACCGATGGTATTTTTTCGCGGCCTTCTGTTCTGCTCGGTTTTGGGCATCCGGTTGGCAGCTATCAAGCTTGGAGAAGCACCAAAGTAGATTATTTGTGATCATCTTGTCGAACCCCCCTTCGAACAGGAACAGGAGGCTTATACGGCAAGCAACGTTGACCCCCACGTACTAACCCTTGTTTGCGGTTCTTTCGGCCGCTTCCTCGCTCTCCGGGAACTGCGTGATTTGCCCAGGTGGCCAACAGCACCGTGGCACCGAGAGGAATCAGCGAGGAGGAAGGTGAGAGGCGTTGTCATCTGTTTTGCACACTGTAGAGCCGAAGCGGCATGATCCAAGCTCGACAGAGTTTCGTCGTGATCGGTACAAGGAATGGTCGTGTTTAGGAGCCAGATGTGCTCGGCAATCCCGAGACGAGGAGCGACGTCCTCGAGGCTTTTCGAACCCTACTCACACCCGAGACTCCAACCTACCGCTGCCCTCGCCGCGTGCGTACGTCGTGCAGGCCCTCGCGCGGCATTGGGCCTGACTTGGGAAGGCGTGCCATCGATACGAGTGCTGCTCGCGGAAGCCTCTGCCGCAGCCGGAGGCGCCAGCGGCAGTGGCGATGCCGGCGGGGCTGACCATGGAACTGTTGGCGAGGCGTCACCCAGAACGGCGACACTGCTCAAGCACCCGGCACAGGCAAGGAACGACAAGGCCTGGCAGACTAACCTTTGACCCTAATCCCCACGTGACTGGGTTTTCAACGCTATAGTTGTTTGTGCGCACAATCGCGAAGGTAAACAAACACGAATAACGGCCGAAGGGATGATACAGCAACGAGGAGACGTACATGTGTGTTTGCGATAAGTCGGATCTAAGGTTAACGTGGGCGCAAAGCAGGGTCACGCCTTCTTTTTTGTAGTCCCTCCGGTGCAATGGTACACAGAAGAATGACACCCCAGCAATACTACCGTCACGGCCTGGAAAAGTACCTTTTCTACATCCAACAACCGTTACAGATCACCGGAACCAACCAGTTGTGGTGTAGGGCGAAATTTTGTGCCCCGAAGCGTTTTTTTTTTCGACTTCGTCACACCCCGGTGCGACGACACCGACAAAGGTGCAGAAATCGAAGTAACCCATGAAGTTCTTGGCTTTTGATTTACGCGCCCCGGTGCGACGATTCCAGTGAGTGCGAAACGCATGTGTGTGTGAGGCGGGAAAGACCGATTGTATGTGCACGCAATCACGCACGGAGCTTCGAGGGTTTTCACTCTCCTTGCTTTGTACTGAGGCAGCGAACACCGTCGGTGTACGCCCGGCCCCGCCGTCTGTCTCCCTGTTTCTTTCGCAGGCATGTGGAAATTCGGCGGCGTTTGGGATCGCCAACGAAGGAATCACCGACGTGCAAGGTTGAGGTGCCATTGATCTTCGCTGCCTCATGGGGTGTTCCAACAACAAATATTTCTTGTGTTTTCGAGGTTGCCTCGACAAGCAAAGTTGGCGCAATGCCCAGGTAATTCGACAGAGGCATTCTGTCGTACTGACTACGTCTCGTCTCTGGACGTGGTCTATGGAAGACCATCCTACAAGCGTGCGCCTGCCATTCATGTGTGTTACAAATGTCACCACAGTACAATCGCGGTTCCCGATATATCGCGGTCTTGGTTCCTTGGCACAATAACCTAGCCTACACCGAATTGCTATTCGGAGACCTTCCCCCAATGGTGCCTCCAGATATACCGCGGCAAATATTGTCTGTCACCACACCAACCACTGCTGGATTTGGAAACCCAGGTTTATTGAGGTGAACGAGCTGCGGTCGTCCCCAAAGACCAGAACCAATGAAATTTGGACTTGGCCCGTCGATATCCTGCGCCGTCTCGTTTCGACGAAATAGCAAAATAATCGAAAACTGCTCGACCTGACAGCGGTTTTCTCGATGTTATTGGTGAGGACTTGCTCTAACACCACATGGAAACCGGGCGGTAGATCACACCGTTTTCATGTCGGAGGTGGCGACTCGCATCCAAGCACTCCCGGGGCGGTCACTCATTCGCGGGTTGTCAGAAGCTGTCTTGCGCGAACTCCCTAGTCAGTGCCAAACCTGGGATGTCTCGTTGTTATGGGGGGATCTAAACGATACAAAGCGTTGGTGGGCGTGATCTGGCACCTGGCGTCCGCATGGGCACCAAGCGGCACCCTCGAAAGGACACTCGAACGAAAGACCAAGACCGACCGAACTCACTACACCCACCTATTTGATTTGCCTTGCCGCTACACGGATGGTGCGTTGCGATAGGCCAACGCAACCGCTACAACATTGTCCTCTCTGACAATCGTATAGTTGTTCTGCGAGATGGGCGCGATGCCAGTGTTCGTGCCGGCAAATGATCGAACCAGACTAACTGCTGGGACTTTTTCTCACCGCACAAAAAAAAAAGATCGGAAGGACCACCTGAGCAGGAAAGAAACTCGAAAATTACGTCTCAATAACTGACATACGAAGCAACCATGCGCCGAGTAACTGTGCGTGCGTTTTTCTAGATGGTGCGGTATGTCCTTCCATTAGCAGCAGCGGCGGAGACAGCGGCAGCGGCGCCAAGTCGGTTGACCGAACGGAAACAAACGGCGAGAGAAGAATGAAACCATTCCTCCCACCCACACACGACCGTTTGAGTTTCGAACCCTATTTCATTGATTCCTTGGTCGGTCGAGCTCCTATCGTCCACTATCTACATACTCCGAAATCATGTCACCCTTCTTCGATATTCCCAACGACCCACGTCGACTGACAGGTACAGATGCCTTGTGGGGACCGCTCTCCTCCTCCCACCTAGTGTGCTGGCCAGCCAAAGCCGTCTCTCAGGTGCTGGGTATGGTTTCGTCACTTGACTTGAAGTCCGTCCGTCAACCTGTCGAACGATGGGCATGTACTGTTGAAAAAAAAAAAAACAGCACGAGCATATTTCCACAGGACATTCTCGAAGACGAGTGATGTGGTCCCACTGTTCTAACAATACCGTCTCAGTTGTAACGTGTGTTCAAGGCTAGACGCGCGGACACAACAAATGGAGTATGAGCAAAGCGGGCATGTAGAGAAGATCACCGTGGAGGTGGCCCAGGACAACAGAGAGTTGTTTTGACAAACGCCGAGCGGATTCTTCAGATTGATTCATCAAAATACCGAACGGCGGCCACATAATTCGACCTCGATCGAGTGCATAGACAAGCACCTTGATGAATACAGACAGTGGACGGTTGTCCGCGTTCCACCCAGGGTAACGGTAAGCACCAGCCTGGCGAAACAGGCTTGCCCGCAGTCGTGTAGAGGCGTGATAGAGGCAACAGCACAGGCATAGAGTTGGTTGCGGCAAAATCGCCGAAACGTCGACACGTCGACGAACTTTCAAGTGCGGAACCCGGCGACTGCGCCTGAGCAGTAGGTGGAGGGCGTGAGGTACTATGGCGGCCTGGTGTTGGCACGGGGGGAAGACAAATTGCCTACTTTGCAGACGAGAGACCACCAGGTGTCGGCAAGGATCGATGGCATGTGCGCCGCTCCAAAGTGGTTGTTGTTATTCGATTTTCAAACCCATTTCTTCTCAGTACAGTACCTTCTAGCACCCGTATACGTCCGACCGACGCGGACGCATTTGGTGGTCGCAGCTAAACTACCCCAAAACGTTGCCTCCATGACAACCCTCTATGAGGAAACAAAAGGACTCAGAAAGGTCAGCCACCGGTGTGCGCCATCAACATGTTGACCGAAGGTGGCCCTACCTAAACAGTCTCCTCCTTCGCGTCCGACGTCACGGAAGCCTCCGCCTCCGTTGCCACCTTTACCACATCCACCCAACAGCAGGTGCGGGCCAGGGGGTATGTGTGAACGCGGTTGCATCTTTTCGTCGAAACAAAGAGATAATTCAAGGGTTCCCAGCTCGTGCATGGTGTGCTCAAAGCGCATGCAATCCAGTAGTCTTTGCAGGGTTACTGTATTTAGGAAACATATTGGATAAAGGATACAATCGGGGAAGTTGGGTTTGCGTTAGGGTTAGGGAATAGGGTCTGCGTACCCCTCCCTAATCAATTTCTTCATCATACTGGATTTCCCGCGAAGAAGAAAGCGGTACGACCTTGACACAAGAAAATAAACCGATCGGACAAGCGCCACCCGCGCGCCACCCGCATCCCGAACAGTAATCCATCAAAAGCAGGAAAACGATATCCAGTCCATAAAACACGATCTACTATCTCAAATTTCCTGCAATGTTGTTCGACCCACACCTGCTTCTCCGACAGCTCCGCCCTGTGATTGAGCGAGGTGACAACGGTGCGATCGTGAGGACCTTTTCCCTTTGTCCAAATACCAATAGCCCTTGCACATAGGGGCTCGGCTTCGGAGTCCTTGCCCTGTGACACCACGAAACGTGCAAATGGAATGTGGTCGAGGCTGGACACGCGGATATCAATTCCCTACGATGTCACCTGGTTGTTGAGAAGAAAAGTTTGGTCATTTCGGGACATTTCTCCCTCTTTCGAACTCCCCGAACTACAGTAATCCTCCAACATTTCCACGTCTCCAAGAGGAAACTGAAATCGGGAGGTTGGTGTTTGGCGGTGGTCGATCAACAATAACTCGCCCGAAGTCTGCTCGCACAGGACAGCTTCAACATCCTGCAGCCCAGCGACTGCGCTGGAATCACCCACAAAATCGCGAAAGGTAAGTGTCGAAAGAACGGTCCTGCCATGCCAGCATTCAAGCCCGCAACCGATGTCAGTAACTGGGTACACATTCTCGGTGACAACCAAACAACAGCATCGAATACTCCACTGGTTGCAGCAATTGCGGATTCCACGCACCGTTCGCCGGGATATCACAGCATGAAGTATGAACAACATTTCAAATTCGGCCAGCGAACTACAGATTCACTTGACAGGCTTGGTAAGACGACTCCAATTTCACAGCATTTGCGAAGTCCCAGGTATCAAGCGGAAGACGATACGCCTGTTGTCTGTTTGTAGTATCTACAGGTACGTCTCTCGAAGCTGCCCCGCCAAGGAAAACTGACGCCTTGTCGACCAGCACAACGCACTTCGCCGACATAAAACTGCGGGCTTTCGTGTTCCTACAACTTCCTTTCCACTCCCACCTGTTTCTTCAATACCTCCGCCAGGTTGTTGAGGTCAGTAGCGACCGCGGCGTGGTCAAGACCATGTTTACTTTCGGACATCGACACCAAACGCTTAAAAAGTGTTTCGGCCTTCTCGAACTTGCCCTGAAATGTGACAAACATGTGGGTATCGAAGCCAAACGAATGCTGTCAAGGTTAGTGAAAGTTGTCAAGGTTAGTCATGGAGAGGAAGGATAGACCTATGCAATCTCGCCCATTGCCAGAGCTGGCAGCGTTGGGGTGATCGTACCTCCAAATTGCAAACCAAATACACATCGTGCCTCTCTTGGGTACTAGAAATGCTTTTTCCGACAATAAATTTTCCAAGAAAATACGAATAAAAAAATGTGTGGCTTCCTACCTGGCCCATCACTGACAAAGCCTGACTGCGGAGAAGCCGAGCGAAGTAGGGGTGCTCTTCCCCTACTGACGCACGTAAAATATCCAGGGCCCGCCCGTACAACAGCTCGGCCGCGACATTCTTGCCCTGGAACGTGGCAGGGAAACGCGATGGGAACGGGGTCAAGGGTAGGAAAGCCTCCGCCACAGGTTGAGCGTTGTTTCCACTGGCAAGCGAAAAGGGCCGAAGACTCTTATCCACACACGCGTGACCTGTGAATGGGGGGACGGTTTTGGCGTAGGCGGCCTCAGCCGGGGACGAAAAGAATCATCCCATATCCTCCCTCGGACCACCACAAATCCGATTTACCGCACTCCGTAGCGCCAAGCGCAAAACACAACAAAAGCTCCTGGAAAGCATGACGTTCTTGACCTGCCGAAGCAGTGACTCCGCCATGTCGTTGAGCACACCCGCTATGGCAGGGTGAGAGGCCCCAAGATTCTTCTCGCTGATGTCCAGGGAGCGTTCAAAAAGACGGCTGGCCTCCTCGTGCTTAGCCTGCGCGCAAGTGGAACGGCCGGGGTGCAGTGCGTTTCATCGATTGGGGGATGAGATGGGCCATCATTGAGATGCTTTCAGGTACAAGGCGTGTGTCGAAATGCGAGGGAGCAGTCAAGCACTGGCTCGCTCAGTCTGCATGCATCGCAAGGAAATGAAAAACCGATGAAGAGGGAAGCGATGGCGGTAGGTCTGTACATGGGATGGGCCGTTGGTTGCTGGATATACCCCATAGCGAACAACCCAATGGGGTTTGGATTATCGACAAGAATCATCATCACGATTCCACCCTTCCATCAGCACAGTCCGACAGCGACCCTCTGCTGGACCACCACCAGTCCTTGAAGGTTGTTTTCTGGGCTCACTCAGCATCCTGCGTGGGGACCTGAGTACGGAGCAACACCGTTTCCCATCCCTTCAAGTACCTCCCGCCGTTTGCCATTAGGTACCGTCGAACATGTTTCCTTCCACGTGGTCGAAGACAGCGGGAAGCGCGTTCACGCCTTCAGTATGACCCCGATGGCACCCATGATAGGTGTTGGCAAGCACAAACCATGTGTGCCCACTGGTTTGACGACAATAGGGCGACCCATACCCATGGCAGCAAAGGGTCGTCGCAGACATTGACGCTTCCGACAGGTGATTATAACGTGTTTGCCAACAATTCCCTCTGCGGCCGCGTAGAACGGCGGAGGTCTCTCTGCTCTTGGTTTTGACCGGGGTGACGGAAGAACATTTCCAGTCGAAACCCTTTGGCCTGTGACACCACTCCGTCAGTTGTTGGTCTACGTCTCTGCTACCCCTTTCGTTTTGTTCGGACGAAGAAGGCCACACGAGGTTTCTATTTCTCCACCTTCCTTCTGCGGTGGTCTGCACGCTAGTTATCCGAGGATATACTTCCTTAGAACTTTACCGTGGCGCAGGGAAACGAGAAAACACTGGGATAGGCCGGCCCCCAGGATTTCCACAAAGTTTTCAGACGAATACATGCATCGTCTATTTGCTGAGGTAAAGCCCCCAACGTGCGAAAAAACGAAGGCCTGATGTGCGCTAAACCACCCACCAATAACGAAACATTTCACCAATAACGACCACTCCTCAAAGACGCTCTACCGGGTTCACCCTCACCTGGTTATCGCACACCCTTGCCCGCCTGATAATCACGTCGACTAAATCCAGGTGCTCCGCACCGATAGTCTTCTCTCGAATCGCCTGTGATCGCTCTAAGAGAGGTTCAGCTTCCGCATGCTTGCCCTGGAACAGAACACATTACGAGAGGATATCGTCAACACAACACAAATCCGCGCCGGACCAATAACGGACCCACTTTCGCTCGTGATGTACGGCAGAGAACCGCCAAAATTGATACAATCCAATAACGGATGTGGCATCCACCAAAGAAAAACATTTTTCGCCCTCACCTGAACCTCATACAATGCAGCCCAATTGTTGAGGCCCGTTGCAACCTCAGGGTGGTCAGGGCCGTAAACCTTCTCGTCGATAGCCAGTGATCGCTCGTACATTGGCTCCGCGTCCTGGAACTTCCTCTGCGTGCGCAACAGCGCAATGTAGACGTGGCCAAGGCGAGATATACCAACGTGACTTTGATCTAGGGTATCCCTTTGAGGGTGGGGGTTGTAACAAGGTCAGCGTGATCCTTCCCAATGCCATCCACAAGACATCATCTTTCCTCATTAACGACGGCTCGCTTTAACCCACAAAATACCACAGCCTGTGAAGAACAAAAAATAAGGTACTGAGCGGCAATGATTCACAAATAACGGGGCATGAAACGTACGCACGGAACATGCAAGAATCTCAAAGAGAGGATTGACGCTCGCCTGACTCCTCAGCACCCCTGCCAGGTTGTTGAGCGACTCGGCCACATCTGGATGCTCGGGACCCAGTGTTTTCTCTCTTATGCCCAGGGACTGCCTGTAGAGTGGCACAGCCTCGGCACACTTGCCCTGGAATATAACAAAAAGTGAGCGAACACGAAAGTGGTCGCCGCAAGGCACTGAACGGAAAAAATCCGCAAAGTTGCTCTGTAGCGATCCGAAATCATGCGCGAACAGATGTGGAACCGGGGAATTTATCGGACAATCCCCAACGTCTTGCCTGGCTCTCCATCAACACCGCCATGTCGTTGAGGTCCGCAGCGACCTCAGGGTGGTCAGGGCCGTAGACCTTCTCGTCGATGCTCAGCGATCGCTTGTATAGCGGTTCGGCCTCGTCAAACTTGCCCTGAGAATTACGACCAAACCAATGGAAACGTGTGCGGTGTAGCAGATAGGGTTAAGGTTCTGTGTTAATCAGGCTAGGTACGTCTCACCTGCACAGACATATCACAGACATATCCATATCTGTGGAGTCGATACCCGTAGATCAGTCAAGCAGCGTGTCACGGCTCTAGAAGGTAAGTTCACACAGCATCCTCACAAGCTCGATATCAGCGTAGCAGGTTCAGCGCTCACAGTGACTCGTACTTGGTGGGCGGCACAACGATATGGCTCAATTGATATTTCACATCGAGGACGCCGTCAAAATGACACCTGGGTATTGATGGGGCAACTACCAAGAGGAGGCGTTTGGCTTACGGGTCAGGAGACAACTATCTGGAACATATTGGCCTGTTGAATTCCCCGATCATGTCTGCCTGCACCTGGCTGGCGACCGTACTGGCGACCGTAGCGAAGTATCCATCATTGTATTTACAGAACCGGCGAGGATGGCCGGCCGGAGCAGTGACTTGACATGCGGAAAAAGCTAGTCTGCTAATAGTTGCGGTAGGCGAGCAATATGGGATCGTTAGGCCGGAACAATGCTGCCCCGATTGTCTCAATTCAACGTCCCTCCTCTTGCACAACGGCTTAACTCTTCCCCAGTGAGGTACACTGCCCGTGTTGAGTGCAACGGCACAACGCACGGACGGTGTCCATCAAGACAGGAAACCTTCACTGAACACTTAGAGCCCCACGACACGTCCATCCCTAAAAGATAGGAGTACTATTTATTCCTCACTAGGATCTTTAGTAGCCCTGCCCTGTTATGAAGCGACTGGGCCACATCTGGATGCTCCGGGCCCAGAGCCTTCTCTCGAATCCCCTGTGATCGCTCATAGAGCCGCTCAGCTTCGGCACACATGCCCTGGATTCACCAAAGGGAAGTGCGAACGGAATGAAATCAAGTTCAGAATGTCGAGGAATACGTAAACAACAAAATCTGGTCTGGTAATGAAAGTCGTATTGTTATCTCTTCAGGAAGATCTCCTGTACCTGCTTTACAAACGAATTGGTGATTTCCGATACAATCAGTCTACGTGTGTGCAGACGCGGCCCACAAGCGCTAGACCCCCGTGAACCCTACAACGTGTTCTAGAAATATCGTCGACCCTCACCTGTTTCTTCAACATGACCGCCCTGTTGTTCAGGTCCGTGGCCACCTTGGGGTGCTCAGGGCCCAGCACCTTCTCATGTATGATCTGAGAACGCTCAAACAGCCGCGCAGCCTCGGCGTAGCTTCCCTAGAGCACACATCAGTGCGAGAGGAACACGACGTAAGGCGGAGAAACAAAGCCATGGCCTAGCCCTCGTTGCATCTTCCACGGCGGGATTCACGAGCCCAAAAGAGTATTCTGAAAGACCTCCTGCCTCTTCCTGGGGGGCGGGTGTGTTGTTTCCGACGGACCAAGTGGGTTGCCGCACGTCAGTGGCCCATCGACAGCACTACACACCTTCCATAAATCCTGGTGCCTTCCGTCACCCCCGAAAGACTCTTAGATTCCTACCTGACGCCCTAACACCGCTGCACGGTTGTTGTTGGCGGTGGCAACGTTGGGGTGCTCAGGGCCTAGCACCTTCTCCCAGATCTCAAGAGCCGAAGCGTAGAGAGTCTCTGCCTGGGCAAACTGTCCCTGGAACGTGAAGTGGAACGGGCGAACGGGATAGAGCCAAGTCCATTAAGCCGAAAGAACAAATGCGCAACGAAATCGTTCTGTAGACTGAGAGAAGGACGAAAAAAAAGATCCCGCCCAAAGCAATTCGAAACGATGAGACTCTCTCAACTGTCGAGAACAAAGCTATGATTCTTCCTGCGAGCCGACCCTCTAGGTTTATCATGGAGCTCATGATTAGCTGTGTGTCACCAGACACTTGATACAGTACTTTTTTCGTTCAACATCCTTCGACACTCACCAGAACACTCAACAGCCCAGCCCGGTTGTTGAGCGCGGTCGCCACCGCAGGGTGGTGCGTACCCAGCACTTGCTCTCGAATGGCCTGCGATCGCGCGTAAAGTGGCTCGGCCTCGCCGTACTTGCCCTGGGGTATCACGGAAATATACCGAAAAGGGGGGTTCAGACTCGACAGTGGGTACAAAAGGAATGCTCATCGTCTGGTTGAGAGCTATGGCAACATTGGAGGACTGTCGCCCTCGAATGGGTCCGTGAAACACTTCCGTACTCTTGTTGTGCAACTTCTCTGTTCGTTTCGTGCTTACGCTGCGAACGGTGCCAGGGATTGGTGCTGGTGATGGCACCGCTCGTTCATCCCCATCCACAATGTTGGGCCCACTATCGCACATATTTATCGGGATTGGCTCGCCCTGTGCCGACTTCATCAATCACACATATTTCAACGTTGGTGAGTATGTTTTCGTGAAGGTACGCGGGCGAGAAGGCATACCTGACTCTTCAACAACGTCGCCCGGTTGTTGAGCACCTCTGCCACGTCCGGATGCTTAGGTCCCAGTACCTCCTCGCGTATGGCCTGCGACCGCTCATATAGTGGTTCAGCCTCCGCATGTTTGCCCTGCACAGCAGTATCCGTGATGCTCCGAAAGTTTGGCAACCCGAAAACGAACAACTGGCAGCCAAATATTGGCCCTGTAATCGTCAAATGGGGCTTTAGAAGCTTGGCCTTGCCTCTCCACCAACCTAGACCCGCAACACGCACAGGGAATTGGATCGTTCTGACGGTTCTCACCTGCATCTTTAGCGCATACCCCAGGTTCCTCCTTGCTGTACTCTCTTGGAGCAAGGCCTCCCTCCATTCCTTGCTTCCCCTGTCCTCAATGCACCGAAAAGCGTCCTCGGCCTCTGACAGACCCTGGAAAAATCAACCCGTAGCATGGACAACAGGAACATCAAACCGATTGCGGGAGTTGCAGGACTTGACGAGCGAATATCTACATTGCCTCCAGGACCTGACTTGGAACAGGAAACGGAAGGACATCGCAAGTTAAGGTAACGCCGCCAGGTCCAAGTGCGATACCTTCCTGCTTCCTTCTTCAGCCTTGGCGTACTGTCCGGCCATAGTTAGCAAGTCCACCAGGCAGTACCCAGTCCCACGCCAATTCCCCTCAGCGAGACGGATCATCTCCTCCGTAACCTCTCGAGATAGGTTCTCGAACAGCTGTTCGGCTTCCATTTTCGCAGTTACGTTGAGTTCTCGCGCCCACTCGTACACGGCGTGTTGGTCGTGCTTCAACTCGTAGAACTGGCGGAGCTGTAGCTGAATCTCACATACATGCTCGTTCACGACTGGATTCACTTTTACATCTCGGTAGCCACTGGGCATCCAGTCGGACTTGAAGCCGTTGGTCACCCTACGAACTTCATGCGGCTGCAGAGGAGACAAAATGCAACATGCACCACGGAACAGGTCGCAGCGTGGCATGCAGCTTCAGGCGTCTATTCAATGGGTGTCGTGGTCTGGGCATTCCGGAGGGAATTATGGTACGTGGATTGAGTGCAAGGTAGTACAAAAGATCGCTACAGTCTGCCGTGCACGTAAGCTTTAGAATAGGTGAAGGCGATGGCTGAAAGAGAGACCTTTGCGGGAACAGCCAAACATTCGTGTACTTTCATCCACAAGCCGCCGATACCTCAGAATTTGATACCATTGCTCCCGCAGTCCCAAACACGGTGAGCAGATCAAACTCATACTTCGTCGACATACAGTACACCGATAGTTGATATTCACTCGGCTCCAGCTTGAGATTCGGGGCGGTTGGCCAGCCTGTGTGTTACTCTGACCTGGAGACGTCCCAAGATACCCGAGAAAGCCCGTGCGAGGTCTTCTGGTTTGTCACAGATCACGGAAACACGAGCCATGTCCGAAAGCCTACGGACGTTCCCGCCATAGGACGATTTCGCCTTCCGAGTTGCGCTTTCCGACGACTTGACTTCCACGCACTTGGTCTCGCACCCTTCCACTTCGTTGGCCACATCCTTGACGAGCTCGTCCAAACCCGATTTCGCCAGGCGTGCGTCTTGAAGGTAGAACTCCACCTGTCGTGCTAGTTGAGCTTTCTCATCGCCATCTTGCAGCTCCGAGCAGACTTTGGGTTGTTGGCGGTCCTCCGACCGAGCCGGGGCGATGCTACGAAGACATGTTAGCCCTCCGTCCTTGTCGAGCTCGAAGCACAGACGGTCGTACGCTGTCTCAAACTTGTGTACAGTTTCGATCTGAAGGTATTTGAGCAGATTCACCATGGCGTCTCGTTCCACAGACGTTGTTGCGCTGATTTCTCCGGCTTTCAGGTCATCCTCCAGACGGCGAAGCGCCTTGATGTCTATCTCCATCTACAGACAGCAGCAGCACACGCGGTACAAAATCGGCTCGACGCAGTATTCAGCGATCGGATGTGCACCACGGGCACCTTTCGTAAATGGCCCGATGGTAGAGTCGTCGGTGGCAAGCTTGCCCCGCCGCCGAGGAATGCAGAGGTCGGTAACGATGTCCGTGGAAGCAACACTAGTTCTGGTTTATATTCTGTTTTTCACCCGCCGTTAACGTGATCTCTTGTGGTAACGTAGAGTCGCCATCAATAGGAAACGGCTTTGAAAAGCTGCTGTACTGCTGTAGACTAAACGCGAACGTCGACAAGACAAAAAATACCCCCACTTCAAATACGGAAATTTTCCTGGAACGTTCGCGGGGCGGAGGGAAGTTTGAATTTTATCGTAGGTTTTGTTCTGGGTCTGGGATTGTCTTCGCCAACCCAAGGGAACACGAGAGTCGGAAACAAGACTGGATTCAACGGTGTGAAGGGCAGGAAAGAGAAAGGATAGGAGAGAGAGGAGCAAAGGAAAGGGGCAAGAGTTAAAGGGAACAGATGCTCAAGGCTATAGGTAGTCCATCTCGGTAAGTCTATTGCACACTTACCTCTCGCCGTTTGCGTGGAGAAGGGGGGCTCCCGCGCCTCTCCTGTTGCTGCTAATTCTTCCTGAACGCTGGCGCTTTTGCTGTTGTTGTTTCTCTGTTGATGCTGCGTGCATCGCAGCGAACTGGCTCCCGCTGGCCGCTGGCTGTGTTGGCTGTGGCGCCTTCCTAGCAAGAGTGTGTAACTCCGTGTCTCGTCGAGTTTCCGTCGGACGGAAAAAAAAAAAATCGGTTCTGGGTCCATTTCCGGCAGAATAATCCATTTCCGGCATGTTCAAAAAAACTATACATATTTTCCCGCCACTTTTGGACGAAAATAAATGCGGCGGGATCGAATTCACGGGGAAGATCAACTCGGAGCCACGCGTGCACCCCGCCAATCGACTCCGCTTGGTCGAACTACCCATAAAGGAACTTACTGCAGGGTCTCCCGACTCCACCTCGACGGGATACTGCTCTTTCCCTTCCCGTCGCCTGGACGGTGGCGGCTGCTGCCACCATGCTGAGGCGCGATGTCAAAATTGCGGGAGAAGCGAGGGTCATCAGGCACAGATGGCGCACGCACCCCAGGGGCTATCACCTGACCTCCACGCTGCTGAAGAAAGGCACTGAGACTGCGGCTACGAAGGCAATAGGCTCTGTGGTGGATGACTTCGAGGGCGTTGTACGTATGGCCCGAGAGCATGTTGATGACCTCCAAGAACGGGCTACTAAACGTCGCAAGAAGAAACCGGAGCCGCCACCAGATCTGCTGCCGCTGCTGCGGTGTCTGCTGCTGCAGCCGAACGAGGTCCAAGGTTAGGAGCCGATGCACGTCTCGCTCGCTCGGATCCGCTTGAGGCGCTTCTTTTCAGCGGACCGAGGAGAAGCCCACAACCCACGACTACTCCTCCACGACAACGGCAAACGGTGAGTTCAGAGCGGCGTACGGCAAGAGATAGGGTGGTATCTTGCGTTTTTGTCAAGTGTTTGAATTCCCCTTCTGTCGGCTAGACTACTGTATTTCCGGTACATTTCCTCCCGGTGCTCTCCATTTTCCCGCGAAAGTATTGAGTCCCATCCTCACATTTCCCCCCCCTCGCGTCAAAACTGCTTCAAATCATATCATAATCAAGCAGGCTATCGACCGGCACCGCGACGGGGTGAAGCAGAGCGTGTTAGAGGATGATGTGTTGAAGGAGGAGCTGAGGGAGTTGCTGTGTGTCGGAGAACTTGGAGAGGCAGCGGCGACGAAGGCTGCTGTCGATGCGGAGAACACTCGCGCACTGGTCGCCTCTATAGAGGCGCTGAAGCAACACTCCCACAGCAACATCGGCCGCACTGCTTACAACACCGTCATTGCCGCAGCTGCTGGAGCGCAGCACACGTGCGATCCTGATGACCCTTGCACCCCGTATGAGCCGTGCGCACCTGCTGAGCCGCATGGTGCCGTCAGCCTTGCCGCGCGAGCACAGAGTCTCGGTGTGAGAGACGCCACGTTCCGTGCAGCGCGTACCCGGATGCACAGGACTGACCACACCATACCTCCACAGGAAGCTTTGGAGAAGGGGAGATACCTCTGGGCTCCTCGCAAGGAAAGGAGCGACAAGATGGACGAACTTGTCATGGGTTTGGCGAGGAGGTTCTGGCACTCTGACGATATTTCTCGTGCGTCGGGAGACTCCGGTAAGCGGTAGGCGTTGTCAAATTTTGTTGTTGTACAATTGTAGATCGGGGTATCTCCTTTGCCGTTTTTTGTCGACGTGACGTATCAACTGCACTTCTCTGTACCCCTTGAGGTAGCTTCACTATTGCTGCTACACTGCACACTGGTGTTCTTTCGTACACCCCTGTAGGGACGAAAGCTATGTGGAGGCCGCCCAAGAAGACAGGGGAGGAGTATCACCCCCGTAGGCAGCTCATGGTCGCGGGGGACCAAGTATGGCACAAGTTTCTGAAGTGGCCGGAGTACTTGGGGCTTAAGGCGGAGCTGCTGAGGGAAGACAGCAGCTTCACGGACCCTGGGCGGACGCTGTTCCTCTCGACGCGGTGTGGGTGCTTAGGTAGGTAGACATGAGCGGAGAGCTCCTTTTTTTTTTCCACGAAACAGCGTAGTGACCGTTCCAGCGTAGTGGACTCCTCTGCTGTGTCACCGCCCCAGAGGACGGCCTCGTTGCTGACCTGCTGTCCTCCTTTCTGTCCGTTTCAAATGTTCGCTTCTGGTGTGTCACAGTGGAACCCAAGGTATCGCAGTGTGCATGCCAGATCCACACACAGCAGGGGCTGTACCTGAAGGCCTTCGAGATGTTGATGCCTGCAATACATGCCAACTGTGACTGCACGTGCAAGTGGTGCGACGTGGGGAGCGGGTGTGGAAAGTGGATGGCCATGTGTAAAGATCTGCACAGCTTTTCTGAGGCGTTGGCTTGCGAAAAGGTAGACTTTCTTGAGGAGGACCGAGGGGGTAGGTTTGAGCACTGGGGGAGGAAGCCCGCATGCGTTGCGATGGAATGTTCCGAATGCGGATTTGGCAACCCAGGCGGCATCCCCATGAACTGCGATGCCCTGGGGTCTATGGCGGACAGAGTAGTCGGGTGGCTTCGGTTCGAGGATCAAGTCATGGAGGATGGGAAGGTGCACAAGAAGCAGTAGCTACCCCAGGCCGGAAAACTGGGAGACCTGTGGCAGGAGTTTGTGGAGCACTCCAAGAAGGTGTGAAGTAATGGACCGTATGTGGAATTGCGTCATCAACTGGAGGCATGTAGTCAATCGTGCATCAACACAATCAATCGCGCAACGTACAACCGTTTTTCCCTTTCAACTTATAACTATATTTTCCCGCCCCCCCCCCCCCTTCATTCACTTCGTGAACTCCGCAACCAGGGTACCGTTTTTTTTTTTTTACCCCCTTTTTTTTTTTGGCGGGAACC